TCACATAATTTCAAATCTGTAAAATAACGATCAAACGTAACACAACGACCTTGTTTGACACTGTCGGGCAAATGATCTATCAAGTTGAGAACAACGTTCATCGAAAGATTTCTCTGAATCATGTTATCTTTTTTCCCAGTATACAGATCAATCGATAATACATATCGACTCTCTGCATCACACAATGCCCAAAACTTTAGCCCGTATTTTGCCGGTTTTCGCGGAATGTACTGTACAAATCCACAACGACCGCGAAAGGGCACCAGCTGCTCATCAACAGTCAGATATTCTCCTGGTATAAAGTGCTTAGTCAGTTGCTTGACAAAACTTTCAAATATATATCTGACAGGAGAAAGACGATCAGATGTATCTCGAGTATATCGATCATCAAATCTAAGAAACTGAAGTATATATTTAAATCGTTGAAGAGACATGGTTGCTCTGTATATTGGTCGACTTTGACTAATATCCCATAATTCGTTCAATAAATCATGATTACTATGATTCAGACCGCTTTGTATTAACAATGCAATAAAAGATTCTAATTCAATTCGATCAATTGATTTCCACTGACGATTTTTATGTGTTTTGATTCCGGAATAGTCAGGTATTGTTTTTAATTGATCAAAATATCGTTCAGCATATCGATTTGTATGAAGGACAATTACATCAAGAATTTCATTTGTAATGAAAAGTTTGAAACAATCAAGAATAGTATGAACTTTAGCAATACATCCTGCTTTCTTTTTCATTATATTAGCAGCACCTATTCGACCTTGTACTGGATTTGGATCAATAGACCATACAATTTCATTCTTTTCTAACGTTGATGGTTGAGATACTAGAGAATTGTTTTGATCAACATCAGAATCTGATGAATCGTATTGACTAGATATGTATTCGTCGGTGGATGTGTCGTCTGAATCTGGAACAACAGCTTCATAATCACTATCATCCGAATCCGATTCTAAATCTTCATTGATAGGATCATCAATTTCATTATCATCTATTAGTAAAATTTCTCCAATTCGTTTTAAATTGGATTTTAAAATTGGATTCATACTATGCAAACACAAAAATGTAAAGATGAATTCTATCTTAGCATCTTACATTACAAAATCAAGATAAATCTTCACAGAAAATCAAAGATTTCACTAGCAATCAATCAAATGAGATCTTCGTCGACAAAATGATAGATTTCACGCTCTTCTTACTGAATGTGAGTCATTATTGTAACTAGCGAAGATGAAAACCAATCGAAACCAATCGTTAGAAAGCAAATAATACGATGACAGAATAGATGGCAGCAGTATCAACATATAAAATAAGGTTATAACACCATAGTTGTTATGGGGTCCACTAGGACCCATAGCTGCATTTTTTCTCTGTTAGACCTAGTCCTGATTTCTAATATGGGTAGTGTGCACCATCAAAAGACTGGAGATTAGATGTAAGAACCAATAAGAAACAGAAACTGTTAAGAGAGAATTAAGTGAAAAGCTGTGAAATGGGTCCGCTTGGACCCCACAACATCAACGGAGGGTTAATAAAGAAGAAAGTGAAAAGAAGTGCGTTCGATATAACGCTGAA